AAAAACAAAAATGCAGTGGCTAAGCAAATGCTCCAAGTGTATTATTAAAAGTGACCAGCAATAGATATGGAGTACTCATCAGATGTACCGTATTCCTATCAGCTTATTATGTAATCCGAAGTTAATCGACAGGTTGATGTGTTTTTTATACCAAACTTTTAATGGATCTAATTCCAGACAGAACCAATTGAGTATCTTAGTAAGTAACTTGTAAGATCGGGATGGGAGGTGGCAAGAAAACATTGCAAATGCAACCGCGGTAAGTGGACTCTACCACGGGTCAAACACGTGTGTGGACAGGAGGAGGGCAGTTTACCAAGATGAGGATTGCAGCAGCACACAGCTCAGTTATACAAGGCAAAGGAATAAAACCGGGTTGTGGGATACGGTCAGAGCAGGCCTGAGAGGCTTGGGTCGTGCAGAAGATGGAAGCAATGGTGAGGTGAGTTGGCCTCAGCAGCATTGGCCGTGATGTCGACTTGATGTTGATGGAGTGAGAGGCATTGGGGACGAGACAGGAAGGGGATTGAGGCCAGGTGGTTTGTGGCGACATGACTGAGCCTGGCTCCAATGTTTTGGGGCACGGTCCCTGTGGTGCCCTGCCTATTGTTCAGGCAGAGGATGTATCAAAGGAACATAACACGAGGCAGCCATCAATTGACAGCAGTGTCTTTGATTCATAACCTTGCAAAATATGAGATACACAATGAATACTAAACACTGCATTCACAAGTGTTGGGTAATATGATTTAGTTTTACTTGGAAACGCATATAGTTGGTCATTAGTTGTATCTGTGTAATGTAGCTCTCGGATACACCGTCTTGTCTTTCCGTATATTTATTATTATCTATATATATAAAGGTAAATTTGTGAATGTGTGTCTGTTCAAAATGTTTAGCATACTTCCCGACATGCAACAAACTTGAAATTTGCCATGTGGATACTTTACAGACTGTACACCATGCAAAATTTATAAAAATAGACTTTTGTATTTTTTTTTTGGGGGGGGGGCGCAATAATACATATATTTTGCACGGCAAGTGAGCTGTGACGTCACATCTGTCATGTCACCCGCGCATGCGGAAGCGTCACGCAGTGTGCCTGCTGACGTCACACACCCCCCCCCCAACCCTCCACGAGTAAAGTGCCATACAAATGTGTTGCAGGTCTAAGGCGTTCTTCGCGCAGCATTGCTGCTTTATTTCAGTCGTTTACTGCCGTACGCACCCTGAAAGTTGTGTGTGTCTGCAGCAAGCGCGTGTATGTGTACCTATGGACGCGCGCACGTGTGTATGTGGGGGGAGCGATAGTGTTGTGGTTAGCGCGCTGTGCTACGAACCTAGCGACCCGAGTTTGAGATTCCCGCTCACGGCCACCACCGGTGACGATTATTTGAACCGCTCCAAGGCCTCCCCTAGGTCGACTCAGCCTCAAACGAGTAACTGGTGTGGTGTATGAACATCGCCACTGGGGGGACAAAGGCGACCGGGCGTGGTGAATCCCAAGTCCCGGGCGAAGCCGGGTAGTAAAGCTAGTTATGAATAAAGTCCACTGACAACGAGTAACCACAAGTGACTCGATACGTTTGGGTAGTTAGACGACTTTATTCTGAGACAACATTGCTTCTGGTCTCCAGACAACTCGGAGACGACCCGTTCCGAGGCAACGGCGGCGATTCCGCACACCAACAGCCCCCAGGTCCGGTTCGCGCCACCTCTTATACCTCGCCCCTATCCGGCCACGCCCCTATTCTAGAATTATACTCATCGCACCTGGCTCCGTCAATCTCCGCCCTTAGGGGCCGTCCATAAATGACGTCACGCGATTTTGGACGATTTTTGACCCCCCCCCCCCCCTCGTCACACGGCGTCACAAAAAGTCAGACCCCCCCTCAAATATGACGTCACAAAGCTCTGCCCCCCCCATATTTTCATTTTGAAAATAAACATGCTTCAAATCGCTTTCAACGATTGTCATTGTAGTACGTATTTAATGTGGCGCTGCACTCTGATGTTGTAGGATATTTTTTTAAATTAAACACTCTATTTAATTAAGTAGAACGTGTTCTCTTTATTTATTTAAAGTTTTGCATTTTGATGTGACCGTCACATTTCTCACCCCCCCCCCCCTCGTCACACATCATCACAAATGTCTGACCCCCCTAGGTGCGTGACGTCATTTATGGACGGTCCCTTATCACACTTTCCCGCCATTGGATCCCGTGCTCCCACTCACGTGACCGTGTCAACGCTTATCCCATCAATCATCATTAGCACGTCCATTAGTAACCATGGTCCCGGGGAACCGGACTGTCCCTCTATCGCCCCGTACTGTCTTTACACCTTTATACGCTACGTATAACTAACAAGTGCGTTCTAGCGCTTACCATGCGTGGCACATACACTCACCACTTTAGTCTATTAATTCGTAACACCGGGATCTGTTGAATGCCTTCATGGCATTTCGCCTTCCTCGCTAGACATGCCCTCAACAAAGTGCACCTAGCCTGGCACACGCGCCGTGATGAAGTCACCGCAATTTATTGGTGAACAGAGGCCGTTTTTTCATTGTGTGTATGGAATAGTGATGCACTTAGTGCACACACTTTGTTCTTTCCATCACTAACTTTGTTTGTCAGGCACAGGAGATATAATTGAGGTAGTGCACGTCGGGAATATCGGAGCAATAGGAGCGGGGTAGAGGATTAATGTAATGTGTATGGGTAATTAACAAAGAGTATCTCAAGGGTGTAGGGATTCCAAGACAATCAAAGTACAATGGACAATGCTGTAAGCATTCCCCTTGCGGTAAAGGCCCTTCAGTTTTCCTTTATAATTATACAATCACAATAACATCAGGCTGGTAAAGATTATATATATTCAGAGTTTGGGGCTAATACATCTCTATAATCACATGACCAGGAGGGTAAGCATTGGTAATTTCATATCACTACTCATTTAGTGTAATCAACTTAGCACTAGCTATTACAAGTTTATTACATTGTGCGACTATTACTTTAAACTTTCAAACATAAAAAGAGATCTGCAATCTAAAGGCAGTTGGGCCGGCAAATTCTACATAACCCTGGCTCTTATATTACATGTTAACTTAACATAATATTTAAAAATGGAGTAATCAGATTATTTATAAAAAAAAAACTAAACTAATCAGTACTGCAATAAGGCACTGGTTACTTTTCAGCGGCAATCTTGGCAATAATGTGTGCACGTAAAATCGAAAACGTGCATTTAAAATAGCAATTTTTCTATCGCTGCATGTATATTTTATGTTCATATGTTATGTAAAACTTTTATACGTTTCTGCTTGTTGGTGAAGTGGTTTGTGGCAGGCGTGTTGATGGTGTTGCCGTCTCTGTCAAGGGACTAGTTAAATATTGCTCGCAAATGCTCGGGGTTGTGAGGTCATTTTTCATATGAACCTGCTTTGTACAGATAACCTTGAAGCTGGCTCTGTCTACCATGCTATCCCTAATTGTGCAGGAATATATCAAATGTTACCATTTACCAAGCTATTATTCATATTACCATAACAATTTACTGCGCGTCAAAAGCGTTTTCTTTTATGAACGACTGCAAGCCTCAGATAAGAGCAGTAGTGAAAAAAAAAACTCATGATAAATATCAACAGAAATAGGCAATATTGCTCTGGCCATTTTCACATTATTTTCACCACTGAAGTTTCTCTCCAGTGAAAAACGTGCTTAGACTTCCTTTCTCATTCCTATTTAATGTTATCTATTTGTATTGTGTCGGATTATTTCTGCGTAAAACATCAACGTGTTGCCAGCAATGTTAATAATGGCCCTTTCTACAGAAATGCATATGAACGAGGGGGTACGGTGTGGAGGAAATTCCACATTTCTATGGCCAGAGCTATTCAGCCCATAGCGGACAAACGCTGTTCACTTCACACAAAGTTGTATTCGTTTTATAGCTTTAATCAGGATCATGAGCCAAGTCAACCATCAACTACGTTTTGAACTCTCAACATTGCAAATGTATAGTCCAGCCCTCTTGCAACTGTGGCCATGCAATTCCAAAGTATGGCCCAAATAGTAAAGCAACTGCAGCCTGCGCTCCTTCCACGGGGGAACAGGAAAACTATGCACTCTCTCCTGAAGTCGACCTCGACAGTGACATTCAGCACCTAAACATGTTGACGCACGCAAGGAGAGATTAGCCTCTTTGGTTTCCATAAAGGATGTATTTACTGTTGTCCTTTTTAAATGTATCCATCTATGTCATTTTTAAACCAGAATCATAACAAACAAAACTGACCGTCCCATTCTCTGCAAGCCTTCCCATGGCTGATTCTGAATTAACATTAGCCATTTTTAAATGGCGGTCAAACCAACCTATTTTAAATTACGTTAATTAATGTGAAATAAACATGAATGTTTGGAGTGTGTTTGCTATCCAAAATTTGAGGAGAGTAAACAATACGTCAATGCTTTTCCAAGTGACGGGGATTTTCAAGGCACCATGATGTGGTGTGGGTGGTTGTCTGACTAGAGGCTTTGTTAAAATGACATTGGTTCTCAGCAGTGCTTTCGCAGATCTCACTCCTCCCGAGTTCAAAATTGGAAAACCAACTTCTGTATGCTCTTATTGATTTAACACTATCTTTTGTCAACCATGTTCACAGATTACAAGACGAATGTGAGGTTAAAGCTATGAATTCCTGATATCTACTTGACAGTTTCATAATTTCCATCCTGGAGCCGATGTGAGCTTGTCTGTGATGAATAGCACGTGTACAGTAATTTTGCACTAAGCAGCGTGTTGCAGTCCAGAAGGGCCAAGTAACAGCTTTGTACTGCATCTTGCTGCGTATTGCATGTTTGTGTGAAATTCCCACGTGGAGTGAGACTTCTTGTTCGCCATATATTTACTGCATACACGAGGGTTCATGATGCCAAAGCGACTCGTGAATTAAAAACTACTATAAACTTGGTAATTGTTTTTTTACCTTTCTATCTGGCAACAAAACTGACACCTTTTTTTTACAAGGAGTCATGTTTGCATAGACCACAATACCTGCAGTCAGAATGCAAACAAAAAACATAACTCTGATAATGTACGCACTGTCCTTGAAGTTGATTGGTCCACACCCGAGACAGCTTACCTTAGAGCCTCGTCTCACATGGGTTGGACCAGATGACGCCAAAAGGCGCACAACTCCATCAGAGTATGAGAGCTCGGGGTAAGCATTTACACCATTGGAACCTCATTTGCCAGTAAAAAAGTAAGTGTGAACAACTTTGTGTAACGCCCCTAATGAGTGTTTTCAGAAGCAGAGTTCACATTCTTACTGTTTGGTTCTTTCGGTAAGGTCACGTTGGTAGATAAAATAATAGTTCACGACGTTTCGATTGCAACAACAAGTGACCGTCTTCAGGTGAGAGAATCAGACTGCTGTGAACGAGGCGTTATATTGACCCGAGAGGGAGGGGGGAGGGGGTTGCCGCATCGGGCAAGAGGGTGGGGCCAGCGATTGTGAGGAACTTGTGAGCATGAGAGTGCAATCCAAGACATCGGCTGTAGGGGTAGAGAGGGGGGTGGGGAAGGTGTGGGACTCTGCAGCAGCACTTGAGTCACTGGGGGAGAGATTTAAGAGAGAGGCACAGAGAGAGACAGAGAGTTGGAGGAACTTGTGAGCATGAGAGTGCAATCCAAAGGACCTGTGACCATGAGAGTGCAATCCAAGAGATCGAAAGAGTATGGGACTCTGACTCTGCAGCAGCACTTGAGTCACTGGGGGAGAGATCTCTGTAGGGGGGAGAGAGAAGGGGGGGTGTAGAGGGGGTGGGGAAGGGGGTTCCGAGGCGTCTCCTCCCCCCTCCTCGGCGTCAACTTACAACCCTCACTACAAAGGCAGAACCCTCATGCCACACAATCTCCATAACGCTGTTGAGACATCAAAGTAAAAAGTACGTCATGATGAACAAGGGATTATAACCTTTAAATGAAATAGGTTTGTGTCACCACGGCCTTACACATAATATTGTGTTGTTTAAGGGAAATAACACGTTTTAAAGTGGATTCAAATAAACCAATAGTGTACATTTCCGTCACTGATATAAATAATTTACTCATCTAGATATGTATCTATATGTAGCTGAATAAGGGCATCTGAATATTGTACATTCATTGAGTCTGTTTTGACTTTTGTTCATGTATCATTCTCCGTACGTTTGAATTGTTCCTTGTAAAATACGGATGTTATTGAATGTCTGGTCAGGCAGCTTTCCTTGTTTCAAACTGCAAAGGGCACAATTTACTTTAAATGAAACATCTGGCAATTACTCTCCTAAAAGTGGCTATTAAAGACATATTTTCAAGCTCAAAAGTCCCCCATACCATTGGCAATTTATTTTATTCAGAGGAATTAAATGTTAAGAGGAATTTAAACCTGTCGACATCAAGATATCCACTGAAGTTTGGGAGCAAATGGGAGTAGCTTCCTTTAATCCTGAGAGCCAATATTCAAGGTTTTCAGTGCATACTTTCAGCAGACCTTTCTATTTTGCCACATCCAATCAAAATCCTCAAACTCTTGCGAAATAACAATGTGCAGTGCATTCTGGGAATACGTAACTTGAAAAAATTGTCCAAAAAAAGTGTCACGGTGGCTTATTGAATTTAAGCAGGTTCCTAGATTTAAAAGCTAAAATATAATTACTTTATTCATATAGAAATGGATTGCATTTGCCACGGCATGAACAAAATATTGCAATATAAATGTGATTTCCCCTTATAGAAATATTCTAACACGTGACACCTCCACACCACCCTCCCTCCAGCCGTGAATCCCATCCAAATGCGTGGGCAGTGCTGGTTGTGTTGCAGGCCTGTAAGTGCTTGCTCAGGCCCCTGCTGGCGTTAAGGCCTCCATTAGAGGGAGCATTTGACCTCTTATTCCCCGCTAACCAGTTGTGTTGAAATTGGTGAGGTGAGAGTACCCACACATTACCCCGTCACACGTGACCTGTGCGGTGATCGATGTGGTGGACAGAGGTGGTTGTGTTTATAGAAAATGTCTTTTTCCAAACACAAAATAATCATTTGTGTTGCTGTGGAGAATAGTGGCCGGTGACATGGCCTAGCGGTAGCTCATTCGCTACTTGTTGCAAATATTCAGGGTCTTACCAATCGCCCACCCTGACTTATTACTGCTGGTGTAATACGCATAATACTACAGCTATTTGCTTCACGTGAGGCCTCTTGAGTTACCACGTTGTGAAGTTGTTTGCTACTTTAGTTAATACGTTTTTACCAATACATTCCAGGCGAAAGACATGATATGTATGTTTCATTAAATACCCTAACCCTAAGCTATCTCGAAAAAAAGTATGTATTAGGTAACATATCCATGAATTGTCAAACCCAGTGCTGTCAATCAAATATTTTAAATGACAAATGAAAATCAAATACCATTATGCTGGCTTGTATCGACTGTTAAGAGCATTTTACTCGGTGGAAATTAATGCAGTCATCCAAGTTCTCACAAACCAAGACCTTGATAAAAAATATTTATCGACATTGTGAAAACCATTTATTAAGATGAAGAAGCCACCCTGCGATTGTATGAAGACAGCATAAAACTACATTCCAGAGGAGGAGTATGGCAAAACGATACGCCCCTCTCTGGCTATTCAAAGCAACAGTATATTTAGCCCTTTGGATTGTCATACAAATAAACTACAGAGAATAATTGAAGATTATTTTAAAAAAAAAGCTGCAAAGTTCAGATCCAGATAAATATGAGAAAATCAAAAGTCACTATCAACAAGTTTGCGAAGCAATTAAATAACGGAGGAATGCAACTGAAAAATGCAGTAAACAAGCATAATAATAAAATAAGTAATGCAAATTTTTCACAATTATTTTCGGCAAATTGGGATGAAAATTACAAATTAAAATTAGAACTCATGAAGTAGATCGGTGTTTTTGTAAAACTTTGTTTGCCAATAAAAGGCAACAAACCAATATGTAATAAGCAGAACGTTTTCATTCACAAGTGGGCCTGATGGGATGAAGGTTGATGGACATGACTGCTTATGGAATAGCTGCCAAAAGAAGGAACATGCCAGAGAGGATAACAGTGTTGTAGAGGTTTTTGTCCTGCAGCGGATAGCTGATTACGAAGATGATTCCTCAAAGGTATGGGTCTATTGCACTGCCGCAATTATATTTTTGATAACTTCTTCAGCTGTAATTCAAGGTATTCCTATATAATGTTTTGACTCCAGTAGCACAGTAGGCAATACAATTAGTGACAGCCTTTTAAATATATGGAGGAATTCATGAAAGGAATTGTTGGGGGAAATGTATCCAACATGGTACGAATTAACACTTTCATTAAGTGATGCAATTTCAAGATATTGCAGATTATTTAAGTGAAACTTTCAGTCTGTGCATTTCCGAACGATTAAGGTTTTTTTTATGTGATAACCACTGGTAGGAGGATTTTTTGTGTGGGTTGCCTATAGTGATGCTGAGGCATCAGGGACTCTCTCTTTTTGTCTAGGGCAGTGACAGCCGGGGCGCTTTCGCGTATTTGCCGCTCGCTGTAGAATTTCACGATTCGAGCCCCGGCGGCCAGTTTGGCTAATGACGTGGGTGTCTTCACCGAAAACATACGCCGCCCGCTTCACACGGCACGTTTAAGATCCCATGACGTCATGTGAAACAGAGTAGGCCGTGTGTGCCTGCCTGCCTGCCTCACGGTCCAAATTTGCAAAATTACGAATGGCCTAATTGGATAAAGCCATATATAAATATTTTCCCTGACTGAAACCACTGCAGACTACACTCACCCCTGTAATAGTGCCGTCCTTTCGGATAGCCTTACACGATAACAATGGCGCAAATAAAAAATGTATGTAATTCTTTGATTATATTTTTTTCAATTCAGTGTCAAACAGTAAAGAGGCTCACTGATCAAGTGAGCATTGGCTCAACGATCATCCATTGCCAGCTCCGAGCCAGTGGTGGAAATTCAACATTTCCATGGCAGTGACCAGTCTTCTGAAAAGGACAACCATTATCCACTAAACATACATTTTAACTATTTTTACCAACCTCAGGGGAATTATGAACTATCCACCCTTGAAAAAATGTAAACTTGTAAGCTACCGACAGCTCCCCCTCGAGCTTGTACAACATGATGAGCACTTAGAATATCCCATCTAAATTGGCTCTGGCAGTGCTTTACTCTGGAAAGCAACACAATTTGGAATGGTGATCGGATACTGGATTTCTGCATGTGCAAGGGTTAACACAACCCGAGCCTGACTTTGGAAGGACCATGGGCAGATAATCCGATTTATGGTCACTGCTGTTTCTAAACAGAAATTTCAGAGGCTTTTTTGCTTTTCTCTGGATTTAGAGAGATTGCATGATTGCGATTGTGATTCCTTTCTTGATTAACCCACGATGTTATTTTCCACAACATCTTGCAACAGTTGGCATTAGATGATCCCACGGTGGCGGCGCAAGAGAAGATTGATTTTGTCTCAGGATTGTTGGTTTGTTTCAACAGTCGTTCACAGAACTTAAATGAGATTGTCTCAAAAGTCGAATAAATCCTTTTGTATCTCCGTTGCATTCTCTTAGCATGGCCCACCATTCAAGCGATTTGAGCTCAACGTGTCTCCTTAATTAGCCGGGCATCGAATCATGCCCCTCATAATTACCGTTCAACCCAGCCAGTATGCTCATTCAATAATGTGGGACCCTTTTATGTATCAGTATCAAGATGATACAATAAATACATAGAGGTGTCCAGATGTTCAAACATCAAGTGTACAATCATCACAAATATGGTAAAACATGCAAACAAACATGCTTTTATAATGTATGCATTGTCCTTGAAACTGATTGGCCTGCACCAGAGACAGCCTCTTTTATAGCTTTGTCTCGCTGATACTATAGAGAAAAATATGCAAACGCCAAAGCATGAATAGCTCAGGTTCAGAAGTTACAGGTCTATCCACGTCTACCACTGGTAAGACACAGTCGTAAAGGAGGCTGTCTCTGGTGTAGGCCAATCAGTTTCAAGGACAGTGGACACATAATTATCAACACATTTTGTTTGCATGTTTTGCCACAAGTCTCTGTAGTTAATGTGGACTTGATGCCTTGCAATAGGTGTATGTTTGATGTTTGAAAATCTTAACACCTGTATTTATTGGCAAAATA